TGGGACCAGTCCGCGAGCTACAGGTCGATCGCGATCGACATATTGGTCACCTCTGTTCTAGATGTTCCGTTCATATTCATAGTCGCTACTGTTCCGATAGATTCTTGTTTTGTAATTATTTGGTTTGTTCTTTAACAGCTTCTGATTTAAGTTTTACGTATTTGGACTTTTGATGTTTCATTTTGTGTATTTTCGGATTTCCATTTTACCTTCCCTTTTTGTTCTTATTGGATTTTCCAGATTTTTTTGTTGCCAGTGATTTCTGTTTACACTTAGTTCATCCTTCGTTTTTCTATAGATAAATCTTGTCGGATTGTGATTTGTCTGAGTGTGCGTTTGCGGAATCCGCAATGTCGTCTGGTTCGTTGCCGAACCGTGTCACCTAGGAGTCAAGTGAGAGGCACCTTCTATGCCACCAACACAAGGCTTTTCTCCTCTCTATGAAGGCAACGTTGATGAATGTTAATTACTATATACAGTCAAACCTCGGTTTTCGTCCATAATCTGTTCCAGAAGGCTGTTCGAAAACCGAATTGTTCGAAAACCGCAACCACGCTCTTTATAAAATCAAAATGTTTATTGAACACATCTGCTCACAATGGAAAGCAACACGAGGAAGCGTCACTTCCTCGTCTACCCGAGGAAACGTCACTTCCTCGTGTAAGGAAGGCGAGAGGAGTCAAATACTGCATTCAAGTGCGCTCAGTTTGTTCGAGAACTGAAATCTGTTTATCATCCGAGGCATAAAAAACTCGAAATTTTTGGTCGAAAACCGAATTGGTCAAGAACCGAGACGTTTGAAAACCGAGGTTTGACTGTACTATATATAGGTTTTATGATTAAATACATGGGCTGTTGTAATCTTTGTCTCAAATATGTTAAGTATAAATACTGTTTACATGGTGGTACCCACGTATACATTCCGGAAAATTCCTAGGGGGCGGACAAATCCACCTTTTGCGGGGGGTTTCTGAACCACAAAAAACGAGGTATTACTGCAGGTCTAATAGGCTCCACAAAAGTGGTGTCCCTCTAATGAATGCATTTTTTTGAATCAATGTTTTATTGTATGTTAATGGGACCTTATTTTCGTGCTGAGCGTAGGTCCAGGGTAAAGCGTAGTCAGCTGTGCACATGGGTGGAGTTATCTTTGTTTTGGCATTTTTCTACACTTTTTAGACACTTAACGGGGCATAACGGGGCGTTTGCACCTTTGTGGGATGGAAGTCGTCTTTTCCCAGCCTTATTTGTGCTATGATGTTCATCTTGTCGACACCATTCTTGACATTGCGGAAATAGTGTTATATTTATGAATGAAATATGATGACTTCCATTACACATGTCAAGGAGCACAGAATTTGTCTGCATGCAACTTGATCAAATCTACCCAAACCGTGTTACACCACCTGCGCTGTAAAATACACCTCTATTTAGCCAGTCAAAAATGTCTACTTTTTGCAACCAAATTGTGAGATGCGCCGATGGGAGTGACAGTCGCACCATCCGAAGCGCTCAGCGAGGCATAGCATGTCCACCATATTCAAAACACGCTAAACTAGACTTAATGCCAAGCGCAGTCTACTTTCTGATACCAAATTAGCACGTGCGTTAGGTACACAGTAGCTCTGTGCAGCGGAACACCCAGAGACAGTGGCAGAGCTAAATGGTGGCCAGTGGCAGCTAGCACTACCCCTTGTTACTCTGCGGCTGCATGTTGGCCAAATGCAGACGAAAATTTAAATATTGGTGATTTTTCTGCCATTTTCACATTGATGTAGACCCCTTAAATACTTTGCCACATTATTTTATATTAACTGCATATTAAAAGAATAAATAAATAAATAAACGCTAACATTCAAATATTACAGTCAGTTTCAACAAAAATCATCCAATCTATTGTAAGTGAAAAAAAAACATGGTCAAAAGTAATTATTGTCATAGCATCTACAGTCATGGTTTTCAAGAAATAAAATAACACGTATACCAATCCTGCACACACATGGTCATGATAAAAAAAAAATAGTTTGAATTTTTTAGGAGGAAAATACTTTTGTGTCATTGAGTTTTTTAGATATGATAGGAATGAAGGAGCTGTTGATCGTAGCTTGCAAAATGGCCAGCTGTAGCAACTAATCTTTGGTTATTGCTCGCAAATCAATGCAAGGCACAGAAGATGCCGATGAAATAGTACACAAAAGCAAAGCCACTTCAAAGAAAATTGCATTATTTAATAAATTAAGTTCAGCAAAATATTGCTTTTTACTTAGATTTGTTCCTGCTTTATTACGAGTGTGATTGGCATTGTTCTGGATATGTGTGAATTTTATACCACGGAACTCTTACTGTGGATGGTATGATGAACAATGCATACACGCAGCCACTAAAAGCCACCCTTCAATGAAGTTGTATGTCACCCTGGCCAACCCTGCCCAGAGAGGCACAACACGCTAGATTAGACTTGCCCAAGCATCAAAATGAAGTTGCAATGTGTTCAATAAAAATATTGTGGAAACACACTTTCATTTGTTATAATTCCACTCTGTTAGTCACTGAAAAAAAAATACACCAACCTTGTGAAATATTTCGCATCTTATTTTCAGATCTGAAAGGGATTAACAACGTTGATGGGTTTTTTTTTTAAAGCATATTTGCTATTATTTAGTCTTTTAGATAAATTCAATACAAAATAGTAATGGTCGTAATGACCACATGTTCTACTTAATAATTCTCGTCCCATCATTATTCCTAAAAAAAACAAAAACATATCATACTTTAAGGGACATCTAAGGTATTATAAAAATAAAGTATTGTTAAAAATGGATGTAATTAACCAATTACAGTAGACATGAATATGTCCCGCAGGGTGGAACGCTCTCATCGTCCATGTTTGAACAATCCACATATAATTCCAATTATTTATACTTAAGGTCAAGAAAAAAAAGAGGGGATGTTGTTGAGGGGTACTAAATGAACCTGTACTGGCAACACTACTTGTAAGTATGTCTTTGCTATTGGTTAGTTGGTTAGTTAGTTTTTGGCACCGAAGCAGAAATTCACTACAGTGGATTTCTTTGCAGGGAAAACACATAAAGCAAAGTTTCTCGCAAGATTCTTCGACGCTCGATAACATTTCATCCATCCATGAGGCCACCATCTTGCATGTCTTGTATTTTATTATTATTGTGCTCTGCAATTGCCGATAGGGCAGTGCTTCTCATATGGCAAGATCGAACTCGCCGTCTTACATGGCATCGCTGATTGCCTAGGCTGGGCAGTTGTTTCTAAAACTAAATATCTAAATATCCATCCGTCTATCCATCCATCCATCTATCCATCCATTTTCTAATCCGCTTATCCTCACAAGGGTCGTGGGCATGCTGGAGCCAATCCCAGCTGTCTTTGGGCAGTCTGACCTGTTTGCGAGCCAATCGCAGGGCACAAATAGACAAACAACCATTTGCACTCTCAATCAGACCTAGGGACAATTTGGAGTACCCAATCAACCTGCCATGCCTGTATTTGGAATGTGGGAGGAAACCGGAGTGCCCAGAGAAAACCCACGCAGGCACGGAGAGAACATGCAAACTAAGGAAGGCCGGAGCCGGAATCGAACCCTGTACCTCTGCACTGTGAGGCCAACCTGCTAACCAGTAGCTCACCGTGCCGTAAAACGAAATATAATAAAATAATGTGCACATTCCCGGCATGCGAAAAGCCACAGTAGTAAAGTTAGATATTTTGCCAATTGTTTTATAAAGGTTTGACTTCCATCCCTTTGCTGGGTCATTTAATGGCATTATAAATCCACAGGGCCAATGGACAATGAGCTTTGAAAGATTCTAAACCACTACTTGAATAGTTCGGTGCAGCTCAGAGGTAAGTTACACTTCTGCAGCTTTAAATGAAAGATTTCAAGATTGAAAATGAGAGTTTTGGGGAGGGAATTTACAATTTTATTAATTCACTATTAGCAGCATTGCTAAGGTTCATTCATTCACAAATTAAAATATGACATTTTAAAGATTTTTTCTTGCCCTGAAATACCAAGATCCACCTCATATGAAAAAACATACACAATGAATAAGCCACAATAAATGAATGCCTATTTTTTTTTTTTTTGTAGGAATGTACAGTACGTGCAAAGGGCCAATGTGAAACCTAAGTGAACTGTGCCATTTTATACATGGGGGAGATCCTACACATTGGGGATGTTTTTGATTACTTCTTTACAGTCACTGGCTGCCAGTAGGACACTAATTGCATTACTACAACGTTATCAAAACAGAATCGTCCATCCTACCAGTGTGCGTGCGAGTGTGGATCTTGAGGTTCTCGGATCGTGCAAACATCTTGCCGCAGTTGGGAAATGCACACAAAAAGGGCTTCTCCCCGGTGTGCACACGGATATGGTTGATAAGTTTATATTTGGCTTTAAAAGCCTTCCCTTCGCGTACACATTCGTTCCACATGCAGACATGACTGAGGGTGTCGAGCCCTGTTGCTACGTGCTCGGCGGTGACGTGGTCAACTAGGTCGTGCATGGAGCTAAAACTTTGGTTGCAGACAAACGAAGCCATCCGCTCAAACCTCTGTCTTGAGGAAATTCGGCCTGTCCACTTGCAAACCAGCTCAGATTTGACGGCGGGGCCCCTGTTAGTATTCAATAAACATTCTTTTCCTTCACTGGTACATCTGTCGGTAGAGGTGGAAATATTAACAGCTCTCCTTTGGGGTAGTGAGATGATGCTTGAAGCTCCGGAGTTGTTGTTACCCAGCGGAGCTACGAGGCCATTGTGCCTGGTAACCACAGCTACCCGCCTCATTTTACTGTCGTTAAGACTGTCCAGCCAAATCTCCCAAATTGATAAATCCCACCAAAAGGCGTCCTTTGCTCCAAAGTCCGTATCCGTGTAAAAAGCACAGTGACGAGGAAATCCAAACTAACTCGTCCGCGCGAGCTCAAGCCTCCATAGTTTTATTTACTGTGCAAATGAAGGTGAATGGAAAGGGAAGGAATAGCCGTCGGGAGGCCGCGATCCAACACTATTGTTAGGCGTCCTTGTCGTGTCTCTCCCTGTTGCGAAAAAAATCCAATGTATTCCAGTTATAAAAAATATATATATA